CTCGCAGCTAAGCCGACTGGGATTTTGTAGGATATATTTGGAAGAAGTCGATTAGGGACGACCGATCATTTACTACAAAGTTAACCAAAGTTGTCAAGGAGCGAGGAAGGTGTTTTGGAGGGTTCAATATCTCTCCTGGTTCTGGGGAAACATTCAAATGTGCAGGATGATGGCGTTATGATTGAAAGATACAAGGAAAGGTTTCATCGCCTGGAATCGGCGTTGAAAGAAGCTCGTTTAACGGAAAAAATGACATCTCTAGAGAATTTCTATTCTGACAATCAGAAATATTTCGGTGAGTCCCCAGCAGTCGAGAGTTTTCGGTCGCTGCCAATGCATGCTGACATAAACGACCATCCTCCTAAAATAGTTCATGGTGTATTTTCAGATGTTTTGCCCAAGTTGGGCCATGTCAATCGGCGCACTCCATCTCCGTCCCAGGGTTTGGTGACCTTGGGCGAAATTGTTTATTTTGATGGTGATTCTGGTCGATACTGGCTGTTCACCAGAAGCTTTCAAGGTGCAGTAGCGATAAGAGTAACCGATGATGAAAGCCGTTTGTCTTATTTAATAGATTACTGCAAAGGAGAAGCAAAGGAGGCTATAGAATGCTGTGCAATTGTTGATCCATCAGAGGACTATGCGGAGGTTTTAAGCATCCTCAGGCGTCGTTTCGGGGAGCCCCATATTACTGCTAGGGCACGCATAGACGAGCTTGTCGGTGGACCGCAGATCAGGAACTTGGACCCAGTAGCGTTCATGAAGCTAGCCGGGGAAATGAGAAACTGCAGGAATACGTTACACCAACTGAATTACGTGCCAGACTTGAATTCCTCTCGAAGAATCGCTGCCATCGTAGGACGAATGACGCAAGTATTACAGTTTAAGTGGTCGGAAAATGCGTCCTGCATGTTACGCCAGGGTCGTGAACCGACGTTTCCAGATTTAACAGAATTCGTGGATGAAAGGGCCGATGTTCTGATGGTCCATCAGTCCTACTCAGCAGGCCAGACGAGCCGACAGCCACGTTCCCCATAGAGGAAGAACCACCACTTAGGGCAGCCTCATATAGCACCCAAACAAACTGCGCAGTCCACAGCCCGAAGCCTATGACAGTCCGCCGACAATGCCTATTGTGCACAGAAAATCACTAAATCGACCAATGTGGCGCGTTCACAGCGCTAATCGTACCAAGGAGAATGGAAATTATTGAAAGGAATCGACTAT